TACTTATGAACTGCCTCTGTCAAGTTACATGTTTTTCATTGTTGTTGCTGGTTTGTTTTTCTTGCTCTTCTTTTAAAGTAATGGATTCTTTACAATGTTCTGGTATAATTATTTAGGAAATGTAGATACTATATTCAAAGCTGAGACATCTAATGAGCTTTTTTTTTGCTAAAATGATAATTCACAAATGTATATGTTAAATCTTTTATGTCTTAAAGGTTCAGTGTGTAAGATTTAGATGAAAGGGATATATTATTATCGAGGGGGTCCTCTCTACGGAGGCAGCATGTTTTTTACAGTCGTCCAGACTGGACAAACTAAACACCTTTTGAGTTTTTATGACAACTGAAGCTACCACAGGTTATTTTTCATGTTTGGAAGAGGAGGGTGAGGTGAGGGGTATTCAGCTGCAACATGCAACTTCACCACTAGATGTCACTAAATCTTGCACACTGACCCTTTTAAAGCAAACCTTACTTCTAATAAAATTTCCCACAATATTAAAAAAAAACATTTTGTCAGCATATTTATTTACTTATGTCACAGGCTACTTGTTTGTACTACAAACAGTACTGATATCAGCCTTAGACTAGACATGTTCTTCCCATGCACTACCATTGTACTTGTTACATGTCCTGCTCTTACTGTTTCCTGAATTCTTAACTGATCATTTAAGAAAAAACAAGAAATATGACCACTCAAGCCATTATATAAGATATGGTAAGAGATTATGTTCTAAATAATAAATCAGTGTGTCTAGCATAGGCCAAGTATAACACACACTTTATGATTGTATGTCAGAGGTAACATCTGGAGAGCCCTGGGGGGTCTTAGCTGGGTGCTCCTCAACAAATAAGCAACATTCAGGTAGTAACTGCAGAATGACACTTACAATTAGAATCTCACTATTTTCCAGCTGCAGCCATGTTATTTAGTTATGTGTCAGATCCTGTAGCTCCATTTTAAAAGTCTGCTCAGATCCAACAGAAATGGCTTTCACTAATCAAAACTTGCATGTATACTGTTTTGCAGCCAACAATGAAATAACAAATACATTACTGCATCCCAGCATTACAACTTCCTGGTCCATGTATCATCTGTTCATTCTGTTTCAAAAATCTTCTGTTCTGTTTGGCAANCTTGGCTCCTCCAATGCTCATGCAGATGAGTCCTTAGACAAGACACTGAAGCCTAAATTGCCTAGATTGAGTGAGAATGAAATGTGTGACAGAAAATGGTTGCATATAGAAGCACTGTATAAGTATGTATGTACAGGCTGTGGCACTACATATGTCATACCAGCTACATAAGGTGACGTTTGTCTTTGTATTAGTATTCAGGTTTGGAGGGGCATGAATATATATCATGCATTGATGGTTACTGGAGGCAGAATTAGTTGTCTAGGGGCGTGGCTTTTTTAGCAAAGTCCTCTTTTCATTTTCCATATTGTATGAATGCTTGAAAAAAGCCAGAGTGGATCTAGAAGTCAAAGTAAATATTTCAAAATAAAGAGACAAAGAAATATGAAAATGTATAAATGTGTCACTAACCTTATACATATGCAACAATTACTCATATATTATTGCAGGATTAATCATCTAATAATGTTGTATTTAATAAATCAGTTAGAGGGACCAAACCAGTACTTTTCCTTTACACCATACTCAAATTTTCAGCTAAAATGTGTTAATATACTGTGAGATTTGTCATACAGGACTTAATGTTTTTTGTATTATATAAAGTGGGTATCCTCACATCATTAAAGTTAGGGATCTGACTACTTTGTCCACCACAACATAAAAGGAGGTCAATTTACCATGTCTAACAATGAGGGAATGACGCCTAACATAAGATGAACCAGAGAGGCATGAAAGTCTTGATTCAGTTAGCTACCTATATCTTTCTTTGTACAACACAGAGAAAAATAATAATGGAATGATAAAACTTTCAGTGATTTACAACCTATGATGACAGCTCAGATATAAGGAGTCTGCCCTTTTCTGAAATAATTCACTATATACAGGATTAAAAACACACTAGTTTACAGATATGATACACTTGTGAGAAGGCAAATTAAACTTATGGTTACAAACCTATTTATCAATGTTCAAATGTAGATGACAAAGGCAGAACTGAAGAATTTCTGTTTTCAAATGTCCATATAAAACTCAGAAACTATTCGTTTGGACTGTATGCAGTTACAACAATTAAATCACCAGAGAGAGAATAACTTTGGTTTGATCTGAATATAGCAGATTCATGATAGCAGATCACAAATGCTTGAATTTTTCTGCAAAGTAATGCTGGCACCCTGTGGCAAGTATGTGTCGTTTGTAGTTTAAAAGCACATGGGACGACTGAATGTTTAATGGCAGAAAACTGTGCTTTGAGTAGACATCAAAACATAAAGCGCTATACAAATACAAACCATTTATTTGTCCATTCAGTTGTTATGGAGATCTGAAAAGTCAAACAGAAGTTCTTAACAGTAGTGTAATAGTTATTCAGAAATAAATTCATATTTTTTTTCTTTACTTACATATAAAAACATGATGTAAATCAGTTTGGACTTGAATTTGAATGTCAGGGACAATTGGATGACACCACAGTAGCAGTATGGAGGCATGTTAAATTCTTTTTCTATTGTTTTTTTATGTTTGAAGAAGTGGTTGCCTTTTACTTCAGTTGCAATATGTGTGAATTTTCATTGTTTGGTGAACTATCCCTTTAAAACTTCTCAGGCCTCTGAAAAAGGACTACAGGATACAGATTCACATTACAGAAAGTCTCTTTGTACAGCGTGGACGAAAACATCTTTATACAGTGTGCACTCAGCATGCACATATTGAATATCTGTATGTAAAGTGTGTACAATTGCGGAGAGAGCACTTAAACATTTAAAAGTAAACAAAATGTACTCTAGTAAAAGTACCACATTAACTCAGCTTTTTTTAACAAAGTAAGGAACTTATTGCTTTTATTAAAGGTCAAAGTACATGCTTAGTGTATCCTATCCCCCAATGCAATACATCACATGGTGTCTCTGCAGTGGCCTCTTCTGAATCCATTTTAGGTGTTTCTTCACCAGTGAGTGCTGCTGCTGCTGCAGGAGGCTGGGTCTCACGTTACATGTCAGTGGACCAATTATTTTATAATAACTTATTGATTACTTTCAAATAAGTGAAGTGAACATGTAACTTGATGCATTGTAATAATATAGTAGAGTGAAAAGTATAGATATTTGCGGATATATATGTTAGATATGTTGGGAGTAAATATTAAAAGAACCTGTACATCTACTCAAGTAAAATACAGGTACTTGAAAAACGTGCTTAAGTACAGTAAATGTACTTTGATACATGATTCCACAGATTGTTTATGCCCGATGATTCCACATGAGTCAGTATGTAGTGGCTATAAATGCAGTGTTGATAACGTCCATTAGTTTAATGTTGATGCTCAAATGAGTGTAATGCATTACACTCACACATTCACGCGCAGCGAAGACCAAACACACATCGTTCGCATGTTGCACCTCTCTACTTGAATACTGGGCAGTTGGTTTGGTTTTGTTTTGAGAGGATAGTACGTCTACAGTGGCCTGTGTCGACTGTGGGTGTCTGACAGAACCAACAAAAGGCTGCGTGCTTTCACAGGCTCCGCCAACAGCTGTCTGAGTGAGACTGCCCAGCAGAGCGCAGGCTGGGCGGGGGAATGGGTCCGAGTCCGAAAGCAGAAAGTTTAGCAGCCGAAGCCAGCCGATGCTTCTTTTTTCTGTCAGTAACCAGAAAATAAGGACAGTAGGTGAAGCATTCAGCGGATTTATTCGTTTCCTTTCGGTGGGATAGTGGAAAAGAAAACGGGGGGCTATATGTCTTTACAAGAACTACCAGGCACTTTTGGAGTCGTGCTCCCAACTCTATCTCTGCCCATGGAAGCGGAGCGCAGTCGAAATAAGGAGCTGTTGGAGGCCAGTCTGGCCGGGTTGTGTGAGCTGGAGCTGCTCAAACAGAGGCAAGAATGCAGAGTGCTCAGCGCTCTCTGCCTCGGGGACTCTCCTGTTCCTGTCGGTCCGCCGTGGGGAGCTCTACGGTCGGCACGTTGCGCCCTGGACGCACCAGACGGCAACGCGATTCAGACTGTAAGTTTGTCTGTTGATTGGTCATTGGTGTAGAAGTTTGTAAAAATCGACACCTTTCTACATAGTTTGTTTATATGAAAGACGTGTCGTGCGCCATGGCATCTGTTTCCAAACCTTTACACAAGAGTGGCCCTGTGATGTGACCCTTGTAACGGACCCTGCTGCTTGATTAAGTTTTAAAGTTTTCGTTTCAAGATGTGACTTGGCTCATTATTTTGCTGTAGGCATAGTGGGGGGAGTGCTAGCAGTTACGAAACATACATTTACAACGGGATGAAACAATTTCCAGTCTTTGACTTTGTTCCTAGAAAGTTCTTGTTGGTATTACTGAAGACTCTTTGCCCCAGATTGCATTGAACCGTTTGGTAAATTGTTAACAAATCAGTATTAGTGGTTCCAGATGAACTGTTTTTCTTTTTGGAAAGGGTAAAGTAACCTATCGATGGAAGCCACAATACCTATAGGGCCTGTTATCCATCTGCTATGTGTCCCAAGCTGAAGAAAGTGAACATGGAACGCAGGCTTCAAAACATATAGGTGATGGAATTTTCCAGAAAATAACAAATATTAAGTATGTGATACATTTTAAACATGATATAATTCATCGTCAACAGCCACCTGCAGTTTGAGACAGTGAAGATCATTGCAGATTATTGGCCTGGATTAATTTTATCCACAAAATGTATGATGTACTTAGCTCAACATGAGACCATACAAATAACCCCCCCCCCCCCATTTCAGAGGCTCCACCCCCCACATTCATGTGAGTGGAGTCAGCCACCACAAACATTAGCAAATGGAGCAACACAATACCGACTTATACTTGCTTAAACTGCTTTCAGACTGTGGAGATCCTCCGGATACACTATACTGTGTAAACAAACGTCACATTGAGAGTGTCTGCACCTTTTCCGACTGGCCCCCTCGTAATAAGTCTGCAGAGAGCCAGGAGGAGCTGAAGTGAGAACACAGCAATCCTCCGCAGAATTCACTCACAAGCAAGTGGGGGTGTTGATGACGTTTCTAACAGACACAGAAGTGAAAAAAAGAAAAGAAATATCTCAGGATGAATAAGCAGTATCATACATGTGGAAGACAGCTATGAGGATTTCTAGAGAATTTTTGGTGATAAGGGCTGACTGTCGGTGCTGGGAACAAAAACATATGATCTCCGCAGCAGAATTAATAGGTTACATCCTGCCTCCTGCATGCTGCCCTACATCCCACCTGAACAATCCAGAAATATCTGTGCTGCTGTGAACACGTCCGAGTGGAGATTCTCCTGCTGCATTTTCCATCTGTGAAAGGCAACCTCCACAGAAAGTTGGACCCAATTCTGCAGAAATCCTCCAAAGGTGATGTCTGAAAAAAGTGAGCAATAGAAAATCCATTTTCTCACTTGTCAAGCAGATACAAAGCAACCTTTTCATCCCTTTTCATACTTTTCAACTCTCTGTGGTCTACACTGTTGAAACGCCTCATAAATGTTCACATGGGTCATCACTTTTTTGTTATTTTGCTGTCTTCTTTGGGTTTGTTGTAGTCTTCAGCAATTAGCATTTAGAGCACTGTGAAAATGATTGTGGGTATAACGTCCTGTGAGATAACAGTAGTAGCAGCAAGGCACTTTCAGCGGCGAACAGTAGTTGCTACGTTTTGAGTCAATAGTGGCATTGTGCGCTATCTGAGGCCACTCTTTCAGGTCGTATTCTCATCCCTACATGTTTTATTTATATATTGCTGTTAAGGATGGTAAACTTGGTACTTTCTTCTATCATTTGTTGATATAACATTTGTTAATAGAACAGTATATTTTCAGGTGGTAAGAATGTGGCTTTTATTTAACTTTTTTATTTATTTAACGTGTGTGCGGGCGTGTGAAACAACAGAGTAGGTGTATTTAATCCTCAGCAGGAGCTGCTGACAGCCATGTGACAGCTGACAGCAGCTGGAGACGCAGCACAACCTTCACTGTGGCCTCCTGTATGTCAAGGGACTGGTCAGAGGATACTTTGAATGGTTGACTCTGTGTGTGTGTGTGTCTGTGTAAGTTTGTGTGTGTGTGTGTGTGTGTGTGTGTGTTCTGCATGATCACATCAGACTAATGTCGATGATCTAGAAGTTCACCCTAATGTTATTGCAGGAAGTTTTTATAATTATAGTGCATTTCTTCAAAAATAAACATTACATTACCTTCCAAAAAAACATGAAAAAAGAAAATAGGGAATTCATCAAAAATAAAAACAAAAATAATCATGTTGATAAAATAAACATAATTATTCTTATGTTGGTAGTTTTCTGATTATAATCAAGCACATGAACTCTCTAAATGAAATTATGGCTACTGAACTAAATCTTAATACTTTCATTAACAAGAATTTCAGGTGGATTATTGATTGTAGACTGATTTGCAGTACTATTCCATCCATTCAAAGTAAAATCTATCGCAGATTAAACTGAAGATTTTGTGTATATGATCAAAATCCCAACACATAGCATATGACACATACGCTATGCACATACAGCATATATCATTTCGTACTATAAGATAAAGCAGTCATATCACAACAGACCCTTACTGATGTCTTCAAGCTCTATATCAATAGTGATTAGTGATACGTTTATAGATACATAAATGCATACAGATAACTCAGAGTTAGATACTCATGCATTAATAGTTTATCCAAACAGTACACTTTACACTCACAAAGAAAATAGTGTGCAGGCTGCAACTGACAGTCCATTCATTGTCTCATCCTTATTATATTGTTCACATAGCAGGAAAAGAGTGAGAACTCCTCCCTAGCAATTTTTAAGAGTTAAAGACTATCACAGTAAGTTGACCCGAAAAAGAGAATTGGGTACAAATTCGAAATTTAAAAGGAATTCTGATAAATTACATGTTGGTCATGAGTGAAGCTGCAGTAATGGTGAAGTGATAACAGAGGCACAGGCCAGTGAGTTTAGAGCAGCTGATAAAACATGATGAGGAAAGTAAGCAGACACTCTCCCTTCTTCAGCAGCTGCTTTTGAATCCTTGAGCAAGGCATTCAGATTTGGTATGTCTGTGTGTGTGTGTTTGTACTTCCAACATACTGTCAGTCTCAACTGGGAACTTTTGCCGCTGCGTGGCCAACTTGTAACTCTTACTCTTTATCTCAAAGCTATAACATCTTGCTATGTTTAATGGGTGGTACCAGGAGAGTTGTGGAGAAACTCAAAAAATAAGAAAAAAAAATCTTTCACTGTGGAACAGGGCTTGCAGAAAAGCTGCTTGCCTGGCAAATGGGTCAGCACACACCAATGGGGTTAAGCAGAATTATCAGTATATTATTCAGACACATTCTTTGTGGAGTAAAATTTATCCTGAAACTGAGGGATATTGACTTTGTAAAACGTCTCCTTAAAATCAATCCAAATCGAAGCATGGACTATCAGAAAGCATCAGAGGAAAATCTAGTAACAAGAACAAACTAGAATGGCTCTTAGTAGAGTGCATACTGCTGCCAAGGCGCAATTGTCCCTTTAAATTCAATAAAACTGCACCAAATTGAAACAATTTATAAAAATCAGTCCACTAAATGTCTGATTTTTTCATTAAGATCCATGAATTATTCCCTGGGAATGAGAGAAAATGTAAATGTCTATATCTCTCAATGTTAAAAGAAGTGAAAAATAATGCCTTGATAGGTTCTTCACTCAGCTACCAAGTTTAATGGTAATCCATCAAGAAGTCTGCGTGATCTTTCTTACAAACTCATCTGCTCTTAAAATACCAGTGATTGATGTGGAACACACAGTGTCATAGTGTCTTCACATCTGGTTGAGACAAAGCTGTCCTGGCTCTGTGGCAAGCATTGCAAAATGACATCGGATGGTATTTATCAATAATATAATGCAGGGGGATATTCTCATCACTAAGATTTGTAACAAGACACTTAGATATTATATATATTGATTATATTTAAATCAGACAACTCATGTTTGAAATGTTTATCAAATTAGACTTTATTGTCATTTTACCAGACATACAACAGTATTGCAGGCAGAATGAAATGGTTGTTACCTGGAATCACTAAATAAAAGAATAAAGGAGATCACACAAAAAAAAGTAAAGCACACATTGTCGATTAGTTTTATCTATTGTTACTATAAAAGATAAGATAAAGGCCCAATCCCATTTCACTTCTTCTCCCTAACCCTTGTTTTCAAGGGTTATCTTGTCCCTTGAAACAGAGTTACAACGGGTAGTCGATACATCAGGGGTCACCAACCTTTTTGAAACTGAGAGCTACTTCAAGGGTACTGAGTCATATGAAGGGCTACCAGTTTGATACACTCTTTGAAATAACAAATTTGCTCAGTTTGCCTTTAGTGATATATTATTATTAATGATAAATGATACTCATCTATGTGAAGACACTGATCACGTTAATGATTTCTCACAATAATTATCATCAATGAGTTAACAAGGTGGGAAACAGATAATATCAATATTCAACACTTTATATCTATTAATCTCAGTAATTGTTTAAATTTTAGATGCAGCTCACTGGTGAGTTGTGTTATTTTTAGAACAGGCATGCGGGCGACTCATGTGGTCCTTGGGGGCTACCTGGTGCCCGCGGGCACCATGTTGATGACCCCTGGGATACATCATCAGTAGTTGTTGCTAAACCCAACACAACATTAGTAGTGGTTGATGTAAACAGACATGACAAAAAGTTTTGCTGGGGATGTCATTGTAAAAAATTACCATTATACATTCAAACGATATTACACTAGGATATTACAATTATTATCTTAATTTTTAAATCCTTGTTAATGGATAAAATACTACATTTGTTGGTCTCTGTCCCAGCTTGCCAGTTAGGCATTCTGGGAAATTCTCATAGTCCTCTGTTTGAAGTGTGGAGTTGCAGTGGGTAGTTGTTGAAATTTTCCCCTATAAATTGGGGCTGTACACTCCTAACACTTGGCCCTCCCCCTCCACCCCAACA